GATAAGGTCACCCGCCTCGCGGATGAAGGAGAGGCGGTGGGTGTAGTTTTTCTGGATTTTCATAAGGCTTTTGATGCTGTCCCTCACCAGCATCCTTCGGGACAAGTTGTCCAGCTGTGAGATGAGCAAGTACAGGGTGCGGCGAGTGAAGAACTGGCTGGCGGCAGGGCTCCAAGGGTTGTGGTGAATGGGGCAACCCCTGTCTGGGGACCGGTCACCAGCGGTGTTCCTCAGGGCTCAGTCCTAGGGCTGGTTCTGTTCAGTGTTTGTATGGGTGATTTGGATGCAGGAGTGTAATGCACCATTAGCAACTTTGCTGACGATACCCAACTGGGAGGTTCCTTCACCTTGGGGCCCAGTGGGGATCCATGTGGCTGTCCATGTACCCAGGTGATGCTCTCAGCTTTCTGCAGGCTCTCCGTGCTGCTCCATAGGATGAACTAGAAGTGAAACGCCGCCTAAATATATTTTGCTGACGAAATAAACTGGTGCACCAGTTCAGAAATAGGACTTTGGTTACTTCTTTCATGACCGTGGTGCAGCACCCACGCCGTGCCGCGGGTAATGCCATCTTCCAGCTCAGCATCCCACAATTTCGGATTCAATGCAATATGTTTTCTTTCCCGTAGGGACTTTTTGAGTATCACCAGTTGAGAGTGGTCAACAGCCGCTCTGCTCCACGGCTGCCTTTTGCTGATGGCAGGGAAGAGCCGCAAGCGGCACGTTTACCTCCCTGGAGGGTGATGTGCAATGGAAAACGCCGATATGTAAAATTACTGCTGCAGGGGGGAGTCTCGCTCCTCCAACTCGGCTTTTGAGAGTGAAAAGGGGGAGTTAAGCATCGTACCTTCATTTTCAGGCTTTTTCTGTGTCCGTGGGAGCAAGGAGAAGGGCAGTCGGGCAGGGACGTTGCTCAAGGTTGGAGGGGGCTCCTCTGCAACTGCATTTGCTTTTGGAAGAGCGAACCACTTTGAAATTAAAACTCACAGCTCGTGTTAGCAGCTAAATTTGCCGGGCCATATTAAAGCTATTTTATCCCCTCATAAGCCCTCGCACTCAGACCTCCCTTAGACAAGAGCAAACCAAGAAGCCTAGTAGATGTAACCCGTGATAAACTCCTTGCCAGCATCAGCCCTCTGCTCTCCCATCACTATTAAACCCCCCAATATTTTGTATTTTCACTATCCCTGCAGAAAAGCCGCCGGCATCGGGGGCAGGGCAGCATCGCGTGCCCCAGTGCTTTCCTGATCGATGAATAAACTGGGGAAAAATCAAGAAAAGGACTTTGAGATCGTTAAGAGCACTATTAAGCACGACATAAACCAGAAAAATTAATGCAAAGCTTTTATCCCCGTTGTTTATTTGACTCGGCAATAAAACCTAACAAGCTTTAGAGAACTCTCTTACTTTCACAAAATGTTCCCGAGCACTTACTCCTACACCAGGGCACGAAGGAATAAATAATTAAATTTAACTCTACTTGTCAAACGAGCGGGATCGTGGTTGGAAATCCAGCTGCTGGCGTTGCAGATACACGGTATTTTTTTTTAGGGGGGTGATGGTGAGGTTTTTTTAGGGGGGAGTGGCTGCTAAAGCTGAAATGTTCCCGAGAGCCCCTGCTGGGGTTTGGTGTGATTTAGGCATCTGATGTGTCGACTGAAATGATAAAAATAAGTCCCCAAAAATGGCATTTAGGGATCTGCAAGAGGGACGTCGTTGCTCATCCGTGAGCATGAGGAATGGCTGAGTGCGCCCAGGGATGGGGGGGTGTCCCCAGGGAGGGGGGATGCTATGGGGGGACCCCTGAGCACCCCAGGGTCTGGAGACGGGGGACCCCCATCCCTGCCTGCATTTGGGGAAGGAGGAGCCCATCAGTATCCAGCGTATTGGGAAGGGGGCACCCCACAAGCCCCTGCCATATAGGGGACCCCATAAACACCCTGGCACATAGGGGACCCCTACCCTTCCACCACCGGCATGTGGGGAATGGGGACCCCACAAGCCCCCTGAGCCATGGGAAGGGGAACCCCCATCATCGCCGCGTACATGGGGAAGGGGGACCCCCACAAGACCCCCGACCCATCCGAAGGCGGACCCCAACATCGCCCCGTATATGGGGAGGGGGGACCCCACAAGCCCCCGTACCCATAGGGAAGGGGGTCCCCACCCGTGCCCTGCTTATCGGGCGAGTGGGGACCCCACGAGCCCCCTGACACCTGGGAGACCCCCATCAGTGCCCTGCATATGGGGAAAGGGGGGGTCGATACGCCCTCTCCATATGGGGAAGGGGGACCCCCATCCCTGCCCTGTACGTGGGGCAGGTGGGGCCCACCAGCCCGCTGTCACATAGTGGACTCGCGACAGCGGCGCGGTCCCTTTAAGAGCCGCGAGGCCAGGCCGGGAGGCGGGGAGGGAGGCGTGGCCTTCCGTGACGTCTTCCCCCTTATCGCTCCCCCTCCCCTCCCCTTCCCGCCCGGCGCC